TTTTTACCTTACCTTATGTTGGCACTTTTGTAGCTTACATAATCAATCAATCTTTTCACCAGTTACCAGTATGAGTCTGAGTGCTGAGCAAGTTTCTATGATCTTTCCTCTCCTCTGAGCCTTGAGCCTGGTCCAGAAACCCTTTAGGGTCGAATAGCAGCTAGGTTCTGCAAGACCCAACATTGTTCAGACTCACCATCTGAATTGTTGTACCTTCAACTGGAGCCCACCGCGAGGGTTTCTTGTGTTTCTAGGCTCTCCAAGCTCTCCAATCATCCCCCAAATTCGCCTATTATCCAACCACAGTCATTCCTTACCAGCTTCTCCCATAATCCCCAGTTTTCAGCATCTTCTCCTCCTCCCCAGCGCATTGATAAGCGTTTTTCCCACGCGTTTTTCGAGCGGATCTCTCGCAAACTTAGGGTCGTATTCCCCTCGTCCGTCCGGTCATTTTGAGCTCTGGCTCATCGAAATTGGAGCAGTAGTTGTGGAGATATCGAGTTTTTGGTGTTTTTGAGAAGTTGAGGGGAGATAAGGGTTTTCTGGGTGCTCTAAGGCCTGTCTCATTTAGCTCTTTTGGCAAATTACCATCCACAAGTGGCTCTGTCCATTGCCCCAATCAGCTTCTTGATAGGACCAGTCCTTGTTGCCCTGCACCATACCCCTTCCTCCTCCTCCCTCTTACACCTCCGCACTTTTCGCACTTTCACCAGCCCATTTCGCCTCAGAACCCCATCGACCCTATATCCGTTTTGAAGCCCTCGTTCATGGCTTTCATTCGCGCATATCCGCGCCTTCGCGCGCTCAGCCATTCGCTCGCTATTCGCATTTGCGCGTTCCCCCCTATTTTTTCGCTCCATTTTTGCGCTTTCTTTATATCTCGTCGCCCCGTGAGCGCGCGCCCATCGCCTTAGGCGCGTTCTGACCGCATTTTTCCGCGCTTTCCATCCATCCGATCAGATTTCCGATACGCCCGCCCGCGCCCTCGCTACTCGCTGTTTTCGCTATTTTCGCGCGTTTTCACCATTTCCTTCATATCTCCCTCAGTTCTTCACCAAACCTAGTCAACCCTATACTCATTTCGAAGCCCTCGTTCGCCTCTTTCTATCCGTCTACTCCCCATTGTCATCCATGCAACCATCATCGCGCATTTTTCACTTTAGCATCGCTGCTCCTCCAGTACTAAAAGCAAAGTCTGGGGATTATCGTTTTATTGCATTGCCTGACCCTCACTCACTGGCGCAGTTTACCTGGCATACGCGTCAAGGAAACAAAAGGTGTTTGAGGACCCCCAGGTTAGTTCTCTTAAGTTTAGCTTAGCTTTGGTTTGCATAGGTAGATGACTGGGGACAGTCATGATTTAAAGTTCCCATGAGATGTAGGGATTCATTTCTGGTTGGGCTTGTAGAGACTGTTTTTACCTTACCTTATGTTGGCACTTTTGTAGCTTACATAATCAATCAATCTTTTCACCAGTTACCAGTATGAGTCTGAGTGCTGAGCAAGTTTCTATGATCTTTCCTCTCCTCTGAGCCTTGAGCCTGGTCCAGAAACCCTTTAGGGTCGAATAGCAGCTAGGTTCTGCAAGACCCAACATTGTTCAGACTCACCATCTGAATTGTTGTACCTTCAGCGCATCAGACCTCATGCTCGTATCACCGTTTGGGCCCTTTCCTTATAGGTTATCCAGTTCGTTCCGTCGTCAGAGAGCTGGGGGATATGATATAATGATGAGGAGCTGGGGAGCGTCGTATCCATGGTAGTAGCAGGGCTCATAACCTGTAAACTTTAGTGTAGTATTTGAATGAAGACTTTGAGATAATTAATTGGACTCAATTTCTACTCGAAATAATGCTACAGTATATATAATAAGGTACGCTAAATGTAAGTACCCGGACTGTGTATATGTAATCGCGGACTTGTCTATGGTCCACGAGTCGATGACAAATAATGTCCGTTTTGGACATTACCGGTTATTCGTTCCCTACATTACTAATTCTTCTACATATTACTAATATTTTCTTTGTTGTGCTCATACCTCTATCTCCAATATGTGCTAACTCCTACACTGAAAATCCTAGAAATGGGATCAGACACACTAGTTGGATTGAGGTATAATACCACTTGCCTGCATGGGAACGCAAGGGCAAAGATCTGTACGGCACGTTACGGCTACCGTTGTATCGCTAGACCAGCCTGAGGGTAAAAGCTCAAGCTCGAAGTGCTAATTAGTGCAGGCCATGACCCCGCACAAGCACCTTGGCAGAGGTCTACACTTCCAGTTTTCCAACTGCACAAGTAAACAAGTGAAGCAGATGTGTGCTTCTGTTTTTCTATTGAAGCAAATTCTATTCCATCAACATGAGAGTAGATGTGGGAGTACATTACCGTGGGCCCTCCTTTGAGCCCATTCAGTGAAATAGTCTGTATCTCACAGTCAGCCCAATGTGACAATCACCCATACTATACGGGCCACCCCACATGGGCCCATGGGCAATTGTATAGGTAACATATGGGTGGGCCCATAGTTGACAATATGCGAGAGTCTTGGCTGGGCCCATAGTATATAGCGGTAGGCCTATAGTATGATGATAATACATCTCATGTAATTATTATAGTGGGTGATGACTTGGCCCAGAATGTCCCTAAGATGCCATGAATGACGTGTCAGCCCATGGGTGCTGAAAATCATAATCATCGTAGGTGATGACTTGGCCCAACATGCCTATAAGACAGCATGAATGATGTCTCGGCCCATGGATGCTGACATTTACCAGGGTCAATTTTGATTGTTCGGCCCAAGGTCTCGGCCAATACCAACAATACCTATCGGTCACATTTCGGTCCAGATGCAGGTCTGGTCAGTCACATGTCAGTATATCCAGCATCCATCGGTCACATCTGGACCTGTACACTATGAATCACATGCAAAATAAACAACCCTCTGGCCATGCTCGGTCAGTGTCATTCAGATGTCGGCCGAGAGATATATCAAGCATTAGATGTGGCCGAAAGACGTATGAATTTAAATATAACCGGTCATGCTCTGTCGGCGTAATTGACATGTTGGCCGACATATGCATCAAGCATCAGATGTGGCCGACCATGCATAGCAGCTCATGAAACTAGCAGGATGAAGTCAGGTAGATTGGACGGGTATATGCGGGCTGTAAGCTTGGGAGGGTGACAATGCACAGCAGCTCATGATACTAGCAGGATAAAGTCAGGTAAATAGAACAGGTATATGTGGTGGCCAGCCAAGAAAACTGATAATGCAGTAGCCCATGATACTGGCAGGATGAGGTCAGGTAGATAAGCATATCCGGCTGAGCCACAAAAGTAACGAGATAAACATACATAAATAATGCCAGAGATGCTGGGCCGCTCAATGAGGATTATGAAGTTTACATACCGTTCACATACTGCCTGAAATGTCTTCTACCTTGCTGTATTTTGCATAATCCTCCTGAGCATAGATTGAGTGCTGTCCGCGTGGTATCTTGAAATGATTATGCACACTGTCTCTCATAAACCATGCCCACACCCATCGGTCGCCCGACCTGACATCTACCTCATGTTGGACAAGCCGACCACAGAACGCTACCATCACCCCTGAGTCATATACCAACTCAATACCTAGATTAGGAAGCTTCATGTGGGTGTTTGGATAGTTGCCGATGCATGTCATGATATCGAACCATTCAGGGCAGCATTGGGGATCACAATGTGCGGGTGACCATCGATTGGCCATTATAGCAGCACCTGTGAAGACCGACGCCCAATACCTAATGCGATCATACATCTCACTTCGTCCAGTGGAATAAGCCCAGTGTCCGATCTCAATGGTGGTTCGCAATGAGTCCCAATATAGACTAGGGTGCATGACCCTCAATGCGGCCGAGATGAGCAGGGAAGGTCGTTGCATAGACTTAATGATGGATAATCCATGGGGACTTTTGAGAGTAGCTGACACGTCTGGACAGAAGCTGACGTCAGTGTTTTCATGGGCATGGCCATAAGGCTTGTCATAGTCAGCGACATAACTGTAAACTCTTGTGAGATGCGACTAACCTCGTGGCCCTGTTGAAACCAGCAGGGAGATACATTGATACAGCCTGGGGACACACTGCGTGTTTCGGTCGCATGAAAATATGACCCATCTGTCCTCCAAACACCATTTGCATTGGCTGGGAATATACTGTCTCTCAGGAGATCATTGGCATTATGCATCGCAGCACTGATATCATCCTGACGAATGCCTGTTTAACGGATGACCGGCATGAAAAGACACACTCACTTTCATCCAAACCGACAATGCTGCTGGCACATACCAAAAGATGATGCGATAACCTGCATCTAACACAACGCAGGGCTTCTCAAGTACTATCTGTCTACTAGGTGGGAACTTCTTCGACAGGCACGCTTCCTGTGTGGAACTGCGGCCGGTTGGCCGCTGCCCGCAAGCATCGCTGTATCGTTTGAGATCAAGATTTGCTATCTAGTCAGGACCAAAGTGCTAAATATGAAGAGAACTCACTTGTATTCATATATGCATTGGCCAAAGTCGATGCCAGTTGTGCACAGCTCAACGCCATTTGGACATCAAGATCAATGGGTGGAATAATGGATGGAGACTGATGAACATGAGACCAAAATTGTTCCTCGACGTACTGGCTGGCTAAATGGACCTTGCGCAAAGCCCAGTCATCGGGCACATCGATGTTATGCATGAGGTGTTGATGAATGAGCAATATCAATATGTGCAGAAAAACTGTGGGCGATATCTGGGAGGATATTTTATTTTAGTGCGCAGGTTTTGCAAACCATGAGGATAATGGTAGGAAACATGTAAATGGGCGCATTTTACAGCACTGAGGGCACTCCGATGCAATACCGTGATTGTGATAGCCGAAATTTCATTGCTAGATCAAATCATTACTCAATTCCGAGGCCACATGGTTAAACCGAAAGATAAAAAATTAATGATTTTCATTGGCTAACTACACTGGAGGAGCGTCATTAGATACATATTGCATAATGTTATAAGTCACAGGGTGATTGCCGACATTGAAAGCTTCCTAAAAGATGACATACAAGTGATATAATGCAATTGATTGCATGTAATATTGCTATGTGTAGGTGACCGACGTGTAAAGCATGACTACGGAGTGGTAACCAACTGCCTTGCACAATAAACCAAACAGCGAGAAGCTTCCATAGCATGGCCGATATTGAGGTCCTCTTGGCAGCCGAGAGACTTGGCACCGAGTTCGGCCTCGATCTGCTTGTCCTCAATCAATTGGCGAACTTCATCTGTGGCACGTGCTGCAGCTGCCCTAACTGCAAGAAGCTGCCTGCTGAGCGGACCTCCTTGAGGGTTCATGGTGGTAGGTAAAGCCGCCAGCAATGCACCTTCCGGCTGCCCTATGTCAGCCGACAAACTGAAAATACATTTGAATGCTTACTTGTTGCTCAAAATGTTCATTGACGAATGCCATTACTTCTGTGAGGTTCAACTGTACGCCTGGAGTCTGAAAACTCATGTCCCATCAGTCATTCCACCAGGAATAGGGGTAATGATCCACCAGCCGATGACCTTCCCACAAACATGGATACTTCTCGGCAGGGCAAGCTAGGAATGCATCGGCGATATCCTCATCGTGATATAACCCAACCTGCTGCCTGCCCACGAGACCCACAATCTGCACCAGAAGGAATGGCAGGGTGGGTTGCATATTTGCGCCCATGCAGATGTTAACAAAGGGCAAGACAAATATCTCGACCGGTGATTAATGTAATGGATACAGCAGATTCAAGAATGAAACTCACCTGTGCTTCCCAAATGATGTGCCTTCCGAGCATCTGATTGACTTTCGGTGTGCGCTTCATGTAGCTCTTGCCAAGAGCACAGCGAATGGCAGCGAATCTGGATGTCGCGAACTCAAACACATTGGCAGCATCCCAAAGTGTGAATTGCGGTAGTGGGTCATTATTGTTAGTTCCGGCTCTCTGGCCTCTGGTTGCGCAATGGCCAGTAGAGGCTGAGCCATTCCAGGATGAGTTGTCGGAAGTGCTCGTCATTGGTGGAGATGAACGGAAAGACTTATCAAGGATCATGAATGAATGTATTTAAACTCAGCATACCTTTTTGGGCTGGAATTTGGAACAGTCTTGTATTATGTCATCAAATTGAAGCATGCGCCTTCAGCCGGAATCTGGGCGAACCGCCATGCTCAGCCACAAGCTGCATATTGCGTAATGACTCGAAAATTTTCAATCATCATGTGAGGCACCTGCAAGCGCAATACAACCGAAACAACATATACCCGTCAGGCGGAATTTGGAACCATCGTAGATTATGTCGTGGTGCATAACCAGAAATTTAGAATTCTCATCCTCAAATTCATGCATGGCTCCCTTGGCCGGAATGCAGTCGAAACAACCAGAAACTGCTCCTAAGGCAAGGTGCAAGTGCTGATCTTTCTCTTCCGCTTGTCTCTGCACATTGTAAGTTAAATAATTAAATAAGCCAAGTATTCCATGATGGTAATAAAGCACTCTGTATAACCTTACAACGTATCAACAGACCTGTGTGACCTTGTTCCTTTGATGAGCATACACAAGCTTTCACCATCCATCTGGTAGATATCATCTTGTCGGCTTTGAGTTCACGAGGATTTTCAATGCTCAAAGACGAGATCTCTTGTCAGCCGAAACACATTATATCAAATCAAACTTACAATTTACACTTGAGATCGAGAATGTCATGTGATCTTCTGACTCGATAATAGTCTTATATTCATCAATATTACCACTGGATGAAAGGTCATTGGCTTTGTTAAAATCCGACATTTAGTAACATTGAGACCAAGTCAGCCGAAATCACGTCAGCGGTAAATGAACTCATGGTCGTGGGGTGTAACAATTTCTGGATATGTATTAGATAGATGGCAGTCATAACCTGTATAAAAACAAGACATTGCACTCAATATCCAACCAATGGTCGGCCGAAAATTATATCAGATAGGAATGAACTTGCCATCTGAACTATGGCCGGATGATATCTTGGATCATACACAATTTTTCATAGTATGCTCTGTAATTAAAACGCCTCTAACTACGTTAGTCAAAAAATCAACAATCAACGAAATCTTGATGCACAAAGAGCTGCAAGAATATCACACTCAACACAGCTACAACATCACGTGCTTGAGGATCCAATCATTCTGCAGTTAAAGATTAAGGTGAACGACCGGTCCGATAATTTCATCACTGCTCATCACATCACTTCTCTTCAATTCACTGCCGACTTCAAATCTATGATATCTACATATTACCGAAAATGTTCTCTGAAGCAGAGTCAAATGCTGCCTTTGAGGTGGCACTCGACAAAATGCAAGGCATGATCTCTGAAGCTTTGAAGATGGAAGATCTGGACCCAAGGCTGCGCAAGCTTGGAGTTGCATTGGCCATTGAACTTGTAAGTTTTAGCTCAGCATTCATTAAAGTGATTGATGTCATCTTATGAATACAGTCCTCTGCAATGGGTGCCCATGGCCGATCGGCAATATTGATCCCGCTGATGGTGTTGTCCATCGCAGCAGAGGTCAGGGATGCCACCAACAAGACCGACTTCTTGAGGCCAATTAACTGGTGATCGATACAACACGACAACCGCCGCATTAACGACCACCCATATAATGGGAAAGCCTGTGCGTACATTGCCAACTGCGCTGCGCAGGCAGCAATGCTACATGCTTCCACTGCTAATTCTTCGGCCATAGCTCGCACATTTACAACTGCAGGCATGGCCGACGTGGATGTCGAACCCACGACGAAGCCCAACAACATAATGCAACCATCCCAAACCTCCCATCTTCCCGCAACAGAGACTGAGATATCCACGCCCCATCAAGCTATGACCTTGCGAAACACTTGCCAAAAGCGCCCGATTAGCCCGACTTCACTTCCTGTTCAGCCTCTGAAGAAACAACGCAAGATGCCTAAGTCACATGCTATCTTGAGTGATACAGAAGACAAAGAAGACCAGTTGATGAAGGATCAAGAGGTTATCACAGTGGCCGTGAGGAATGTTAAAGGGAAGGCAAGAGCGAAGGATGAAACAGAAGACACAGATACTAAAGGAAGACCTGTGCTTCCAACTATTATCATGACGGTGAGTAATTCTTTTTCTCTCATTAATGTTTCCTCATCGATCTTTGACCACTACCGAACCAAAATGCTATGAGTGGTTCCAAGAAAGCATCTGAGACATCGACCAGTTCTCAACTGCCGAAACGCGCTTGGGATTGTGCTGGGTGCTTGCAGGCAGAAGTTCCTTGTCTCCCTGGTATCGGCAAACGCAGCAAAAAACCAATTAGCACATGCACATGCTGCCACAAGAGCAAGCTCAAATGCAGGCCACTCATAGATAATGCTGGCAGCAAGCCCGCCAACACCACTAGCCAGCCAGAGATAGCTGGGAAATGTGTTACTCGGTCAACGTCCAATGCGAAAACAACCAAATCGACTACAACGAGTGCACACACACATGCCTCAGCACTCATGGATGCACCTACACCTCTTGGTTCGTCATCTGCTGCTGGTCCAACAGGTAGGTACAATTTGTGTTCAGAACTAATGATATGTGCTAACTAATGCCTGCTAGATACTCTAGAGTTATCTCCCTGTGTGACGGACTGTCTCACGTCAAAGACAGCCGACAATGCGTTCACGATCGCTGAGGGCAACACCATGCCGATGCCTTACACGCCTGTCAATCAAACTGTGTCTCTGCCCGACCATGATCAGGTCATGGAGAACACGACTGCAGAGGCTCGCATGACATGCGAAGTTGCTGCAACCAGTGAAGTTGCTGGGACTACCATAGTTGACGGGATGGCCGAAGTGGATGCGACAGCAAATATGGATTGGACAGCCAAAATGAATGCCCACTGGATGGCATAGCAGAGAATCGCTCGGTTAGAACAACAGGTAGCTTTGTTGGATCAAGCCACCCGTCTTCAAAAAATTGAATTGGACACCACACGTGCATCACTCAATGTTAGTCAACAACAGCTAACTGAAGTGACATGGCTCTGGCAACATTGGTTGTTGTCTACGAGGGCTTATGTCATGCACACATTCCTGACAATCCAATGTTTCCTGCACCCACATCATCTCGATCAGATATCACCTTACCACCGGCCGGCGGTTGGCAGCAGGTGACTGATGAGATCATCAATAGTGTAATTTTCGGCAGCCTATCTCATCAATTGCAAAACTGGCCAGAACCAGGACCATCGGCAATGCCAGGGGACTCAATATCAGCGATTATGGGAGTGGCAGGCGAGATGGTGTCACCAGAGAGGCAATGGGAGGCCGACCTCCTAGCACAGCAGGATGTCATTGCGGGAGGAACTGATGGATCGGAGTCACAAGTCACACAAACTCTAGTACATTCTCCTGAGGTCCAATCCATCACCTCTCATTTGTTTGGAGCATCTGTGACACCTGGGATGGCTGCAGTGCAAGAACCATTGACAGGAGGTCTTTCTGAGCTTGTTAAAGGTTTGACAGTGGGTGAAAATTTCCCAGGCCGCTCAGATTCTGATCAACAAGTATCTACGCACCAATAGAATAGGAAGACAATCATAGTGTTACATGTAGAATTACTGTAGATTAGTTCTCAAATGTGAATGTATAGTGACTCCAACATAACAACGTGACATATATTGCTGTAAGATCGTCATTTTGTGTATGTTATGATCAATTTTGCTGAAATAGATGGGTGCTGGCAAATGTATGGCCGAAGCCAACCAAGCAGTTGTATATGGTCGGCTGAGTTTCGAAGGACAATTGACAGTTGTGCCATGAGCTAAATTGAGATCACAAGGATTGTTGCGAACAACAGCGAGTGGCTACCAGCCAAAGAATACCACCAACAATTATCTGAGCACCAGTGATCCACGCAGAAAACATTCACAGCAGGATTGAATAACAACGTGGTATATTGTGATATAACATATAATGAATTAAAACCAGTCAACAAACAGCATCTGAGCCACTGGCGTTACTGCAATGCTATTCATAGTCTGCATACCTCGCGGGCAACTTCCTTACCCTCACTGCTCGTTTCTTTGGTGGTTCAGGCAATTGATCGACCGCCCACCATTTACCACCTGCATCCTTTTGCCTACCCTTCATCCCATCTTTACAATTTCCTCCTGGCCGATATTCCTCTGCATGGCCGTTTCTGGAAACAGCTGCATGTGGTTCTTCACAAGTGTTGTCGGTCAGTCGTTGGTCTTCACATTTGGCTGTTGTGAACATTGCTTCAGATATCTCTTCTGAACCCATTCCAGTCCTCTGCAAGATAAGTGGCTTGTCATCTGTTGGGCCAACTTGTCCTTCACCCGTCCTCACGGTTGATCCACCAGTATTATCAACAAAGTGATTGAGCAGGACACGTTTACCTGGGACAGACTGAAGACGGCAGGCATTGCCCAGTTGCGCTCAATTTGGTTGATCTCTGACCATCTTTCCGGCTGGCCAAGGTCTTGGCCTGGGCTTATTTGTGGCCAAATCCTGTGGAGCCAGATTTACCAATCCAACCGTTGGGGATTGGTCATGCATAGTAACCTTGGCTGGAATGATGCTTGATACCTTTGACTGCTCTGGATGTTCTCGCCTTGGTGGTAGCCGACCTGTCAACATTGGAGGTGGTGTCAAGAATTCATTGTTCTGTGGTTCTTTCCTAGTGACGGCCATAGCTAAATTGGTCTTTGAAGCATCCTGTAGGTTGTTCCTCTGAATGTGTTGCTTGGATTTTCCGGCCGGCCCAGGCCGAGGACGTGGTCAGGGCAATGCAAATGCTGCATTTTTAGTTGATACACCGACCATGCCCTCAACAGCATTGGATGGGTTTCGGCCATTTAATGTGTTCTCTTCATCAAGCTTGTTTGACACATAAGCAAATTTGGTCGCCTTGACTAATTTCAGGTGACTGATCTTCTTCAACTGGCCTATTGTCATATTGATTGTCAGAAGCAAAGGCATAGGAGCATCTCCTTTGTTGCTGTCGTAGTCTCGGTTGCTGCATCTTTCCTGAATCGGGCATTCTTCAATGGCCTTGGTGGTGTCAAATAATCAGACTCTGTCTCCTCTCCATCCAAATTTGAGGCAACCTTTGCCAGACCATTATTCTCCACTCCATCATCATCATTTGGTCCTCTGTGGTGCTAGGCGAAAAGGCGATAGGTATTCGGTTCTTGGCTCTCAGGTTTGCCAGACGTTTTGACTTCTGTCGTGGAGCAGCACCAGGCTCACAACCATCATCCTCACTAGAATCATTATCGGAATTCTTGCTTCCAGTTGTCCTTGCTCCGACTGGAGGTTTCCTAGACTTCCGGGATGGCCGACGATCTCCAGCTCCACAGTTTGATGGCTGTATCTTTTTTTTAACAGGGGGAAGTGTATTTCCGTCTGAGTCTACCCAAGCCTTGAATGCAAATGTGGTTTCGGCCGACTGTGCCTGGCGCTTTAACCAGAATTGAAGGAGAATCTGGGCGTCGGCCTTCTTCAACTTTGATGGATCCTTAATCCTGGTTCCCTCAGGTAGGTACGTGGTCTCAATAAAGTCTTCTTGCCGTGATAGGATAGTTGCCCATGGAACCGCCACCGTCAGCTTCTGGCAACAATCTCCTGTTGAAACTGTCAGTCCTGCGCACAGACATTCTAAATGTAGCTCACGGTAATGGACTGTGATAAAGTCATGAATAAGGTCTTTTGTTGATTGAAGGTCCAAGTCTTCATAGGCAGGAATAGTTGGCATGCCCGCGTCATTCAGTTCAAAGTCGAACAGCTGTCTTGCCTGCCATTTCTTTTTGCCGATCACTTGATTGCCGTTCCCCTCCTGCATATCTGGTAAGTTACAGTCAGCAGGGCTCACAACAAAAATCTGATTACCAACTAAACTGTTCCTCCACATATGGATTTCATTCCTCCAGGATGACCTCCCAATCTTTGGAATCCATGAATTGTTCACTGCCACCAAGCTCATCATTGAGATCATGCCTGTGTACAATCAGAATCATTTTATATGTGGCCGAACGTGAAACATAGATCTTACCCTCCGATCACGAGCTTACCATCCGGTGCCTTCCATGCAGATATCACAAATAGTCTCATTCCAGCTTGCCTGTACATCTCCTTTGCGAAATGTTTGATGAGTGATTCACCTTTCGTCTTTGTGATATTGGCTTGTATATCAGCCGGTGGGCCTTCTTGACTCCATGCCAATGCAGTAGCCTCGGCCTCCTGCAACTCATCTGATGTAAGTCCTTGCATTATTTCCGTCACAATACGTTGATAGTGTTTCATCATTCCCTTTTCCCCAGGCTTCACTCCCGTTTGCTCCTCGATGATGCTCTTTACTTCGGCTTTTCGTTCTTGTTTGATGATTTCCTGAACTGTCCATTTTTGGCCATACTTGATGAGATGCCTCTTAATGCGCTGCTTGCGTTGTCCATGGTTATAGAACCATTGCTTGTATATCTGGCATACAGGTTCACTGAGAATATTATGAGCAACAATGGCCAAGTGACATACATATTTGCGATGTTTTAACGCATCCTTATCCATCTTTGGGGCAAGAAGACGTGCCTCCTTAACTGCAGTATTCAACACTGCGTGGCGCTCTCCACCTTTACAAGAGTTCCATTGTTCTAGGTGCGATTGCAGGGCCAACTGCTCATTCTCATTCAATGACATTTGCTTGTCGTCACCCGTCTGAGTCTTCTGCTGAGCCATGTTGCAATGCAAATTGTATGCGATCTAGAGATGTTGACAGGTAATCAAGGTTTGATTTGATGCAGGTTTAACAAGTGATTATCCAACATATATCAGTCCTCTGTCATGACCTGAGTATGTCACATTTCTGATATACGCTACTGAAATGTCTGCTTGTTGACAAGTTCATAAAAATATCATTATTCACCAAATTCTGCAACACATGCATAAATTGCATGACCTTCATTGACATCCAGCCGCTAGCACTCAATAGACTTCGGCCGCTCTACCTCTCTTATCATCATCTCCCTCAGACTCATCATTTAAATTTAGACCTTTCATAATTTCACCAATTGTTCCATCTTCATCTTTCAATATGCTCTTTGAGATCTGCTTGAAGCTGCTGCTCTTTGTGACCATGCCCGTTGTCACAGGTCTTCGCAGAACCATCTTTGTTGCCCGTTTTCGGCCAGCCTCGTTGTAACAAAACCACTTGTGATATAGCTGCCATTGATATCTTGTAAGATGACTACAATTTGCAAGAGCCGAGAAACACACCCATTTATGATATTTCAATGCCCCTTGGTTCATCCGAGGTGCGAGGGGATGAGCATGCTTCGCTGCATCAATCAGCACTTTTTTGTGCACTACTCCTTTAGCAATGTTCCAGTCATCCAGGTGAGTTTCAAGGGCAAGCACTTCAAACTCGTTCAAAGGTATGTGATGTATGGTGTTAGTTGGTGTCCGGATGCAAACCATTGGTAAGAACACTATAAATGATGTGACAGGTGAAGGTGGTCGTTGTGGTTGTGCAAGTCATCTGTAATAATAGCAAGTCAAATATTGTTGCGAAATTAAATTTGACCTGTTGGTGTATCATTATGTACTGCAATAGCACCTAAATAATACTATTGACATAACAAACATTGAAATTTTCTTGAGTAGGCTGTCATCTTCATCTCTTTTATCCTAGAAATGGGTAAATCGACTGTGAGGGAATGGACACCGCAGAAGAGTATTAGGGTTGTAGTATGGAAGGGTAAACCTACTAACAGAGGAGACAAAGGCCGGTGGGTTGACATGGCATGCAACCAACGTGCTCGACAAAATCAGCAATCTCCAAGTAAATCAACATCACGTCAATCACAAAGGATGTTATACAACGACGGAGATGCACAACATGATATAGGCGATATGGCTGTGTCTCCTCCAGCATTGCCAAAGTCCCTGGTAAGAACACAACAAAATCTATTTCTGCATGACATCCTCATGTGCGAGTGAAGAGCCAGAATGACTATCTTCGGCAATGGCAACTCAGAACTGAGGAGTATCTCATGCTACTGCTGGAACGAGAAGCACCGCCTGTAGGCCGGGCATGTGTAACCTGTACACAGCCTGGAGTCTTCAGATGTCATTGCTGCTTAGGGAAACCTTTGTATTGCTCCAACTGCTGCCGTACCGAGCACAGAAGATTGCCATTTCATAAAATTTCTCAATGGAATGGGACATACTTTGAGGAGTCCTCCCTAACGAAGGCTGGCCTAGAATTTTATCTCGGCCATGGTGGCGAACCATGCCCGAGTGATCTGGACATTCTCAATGGTGATGTCTTTGACTGGATTGAGACCGATGATTATATTGACCCAGACGACATTCCTCCAGAGACTGTGACAACATGGGTCAGTGACAAGAAGGCCACGACAATAGTAGACAAGACTGGGGTTCACTCGCTCATCTTGAGATATTGTCAATGCCACAATTCTCTTAGCCCAGACAGGCAGCTCTTTCAGATGGGAATGTTCCCAGCCACATTCACCCACCTGAAGACAGCCTTTACATTTTCTGGGCTTGACAACTACCTCCTTGATAATCTGGAATGTGGGACGTCGGCCATGAACCATTTTAGCAAGTTAAGACGAATGACCTCCAGCGTTTTTCCCCATATTGTCCCTGTGAGTCAGAATGCTTCATCAGTCTACACTTTATACCATTTCGCACATTATAGGAATACTCACAGATATATTTAGGACCGCTATCGGGAGTTGATGAGAGTTTCTAGACAATGGCGCCAACTAAAATGCCTGAAGCGGAATGGCTTTGGGCATGAAGCACGTAAACCAAAACCAGGAGAACTGGCCCTATTCTGCCCAGCATGCCCACAGCCTGGTATTAATATGACTCTCCCAGACGCAGATACGGCCGACCGAGATCCTAACGCTAATTGGTTGTATACTTGGTCGCTGGTCATGGATGGGAATTTTAAGGCCAAGCATTTGCACATGGCAAATCCCAACAACGAAGTTTGGTTGATGGATGGTCATGGCTTTATGGTTGGCAAAGACCGATACAAGCTGCATCTTGACCAGGCTAAGGACCACCTGGAATGATCAGACTGTAACAATCACAAAGCAGTCAATCTTGCTAATGTGTCGAGGCATAGACTTGAAGCCACTGGAATTGGTGGATGTGCCTGCGCTAGGCACGGTTGCTTCGTTCCTCACTCTATGGTGGATTTCCAAAAGGGCGAAAGGTGGGTGATATCAACGCATTGCTGGTTATCACATGTCACATTGCATCTATCCCAGGTACATGAATATGGATTATGCTCTATGCCAAGTATTGAGTCACAACACTTCTGGAATCACACGTGCTCTGACCTTCTATGATATTAACTGTCAATACAATAAAAACCTCGGCAGCCGAGTGGCCAAAAGCCCCTATCTACACTTGCCATGGAATCTTGACATAGCACCAGGGATCGGCCTATGGCATGTTCATGGGCATCAAGACTGCTGTTTTGTACGTTATGCCTCAAATTTTATCCCGGGCACTGCTAGGATAGATGGAGAGATCATGGAAACACTTTGGTCAGCCTTGAACATTGTTTCACCATTGGCCCACGGAATGTCAACTCTGCACAGAAAAGAGTGTTTGGACTATCAAATGAACGATTCTAATTTCATTAAAATGATCCGGATGAGTACGTGTTTTTTTATGTTGCTCATATGATGATTAATGGGTAGCTTCATACTGATAGGCAAATTTTTGTGCCGGAAATACAGGCAAGCGATGACCGGTCGCATAGAGTTTAATGAGGCCTTTGAAAAGCTGAATGCCACCGCTGATCCAGCCTTAGTTTTGCAATGGGCAGAGCAGGAGGCTCATGCACAAGCGAGCCGCCTGCATGATCCAAAATCCATGGATATATATGAGGTACAATTAGATAAAGGCAAGTCATCATTATCTTCTAAAAGTTTGTCTAATGAGGTCAGCCACAGCTCCGACCAGGAAGCAGCAAGAGCTGGACTTATTAAGTTCACAGAATCGGCAACAAGTGCCTACATCTCGTAGAGGAGTTGCCACATGGCTTGCAAATGGAATGACCCTCGAGGAGATTCAGATCGGATTGGTCATTGATTTATGAAAGCTTGGCCGACGGCCAACGGATACTCAAAAATTAGAACTTGCTCGTCGCCAGGACAAATTGCAGGGCGATATCGAGAGATGGGTGGAGGCTGGTGCAGCATTCATTGGCCGAGGATATGATGATGGGGACATGGTCTCCATGGACATTGGATTTATCGTTGACCATGCACCCTCTGATGATTCTGATAGTGAACTGAATGATGGTCCAATCGGCCAGGCTGTGTCTATTGGGTATCACCCAGAGACTACTGTTATTCCATTGCCGTCTAATATTGGGATTCAATGATGCGCAGAGCTGGGCATCGATGATTTGATCGACCAAGAGATTACACTCAGAGAAGGCCAGGCCAATGATGCATTGCAACATATAAGGATATGCTTAGCTGACAAGGCAATCCTACTACGGACAACAGTACGACCTGCCAAATAACAAGCTCGGTCAACTCGGGCATGGGCCCAAGTCCGATCTGTCGATGGGGCAGTTAGGCTTAATGCTAGCATTTATGCAAAATGCAGGACACAACTACAGGAGCTTGGAGCAGATGAACTTCTTATAAAATACTGGCCGCTACTAAAAGAACATTTCAAAGTTATGACTGCCATTGCAGACCCAAATGCCAGAAGGCAAAGGAATGATACTTTGCCTTGGTTTTGGTCACTTGATGTTGAAGGCGATTCTACGAGCAGCGATTGGATGAATGAATGTAAGCTGTTTCTCATCTAAAAATATGATGGTTGAGCCAATAAACATGTTGTGTAGTTTACAGGGTTCACTGGCTTTGAGCAAAAGCCTTGTGAGATCGCTGGACAGAAGAGTTTATTCTCGTGGAGCATGAGATGGCATGGACTCTGTGTTTTTTCAATCACAAAAGTGCAATGTGGTTGGCTCGCGGCTGATACTCCCAGGAGACTCAGCGAGAGGGACACTTTTGCTACGCCGGCCGGCAGGCATACATGTACCAGCGATTACATGATCATGCTGAAGCATCCTTCCAGAAGATGAAAGCATTGACGGCCGAGGCAGGTGAATGAGGGCCAGGTTTGAAGAACTTGATGTTCCAAAATACACAGTAATAGTCCATATTACAATATCACAACTCCTGTGCGTTACTCACCTTTCATGAAACCGCTGTCAATGCCTCATAGATATATTATGTTGTAACCAAGAATGGTCTACAGCCCTGCAGGTCCAAATAATGAGCCAAGAGTCATAAATGATCATTTATCTAGATATATAGCGCTGTTCAACTCAAAGCAAGACTATTTTGGTACCTTTGAATGAGTGTAATCATATACTGCCTCTCACTTGGTTCGGAAAGATTTCCAATTCCCTCCTTTAACGCCTGACGCAAACAATTGTGCAGCAAGTCTGATGGAATTGGGACCAGGACGAGTCAGAATCATTGTCACAAGAATCATGCAAATCATACCTAGATGTAAAGACTCCAGTGCGCCAACCACGACGAATGCAATAGAACTTCTCAGCACCATCTGACTCAGTGCTGGTCACTGAAGCCGTTCGTCGAACCAATGGCCAAGTGACATGCTGGCTATGGGTAGCAGGAGCTGACGGACTGCAGGAGGTGACCTGTGCCTTTGCTTGTTGAGAATTACGCAAACTATGTTGTCCTCGTTCACTGGAAGCGTCCTGCTGGGCTCCAGCTGAAATCACATTGGAGTGCACACGTGATCGATTATGTTCTGCATGCTGTTTGTCGTCAATTTACGCATTGGATTGGTATATTATCATGAACAATACCTTAGGCCAAAAATGACAGCCGATGTCATGATATCTCCGGCGTTCAGATTCCGAGGATGTCATATCCACTTCCACCCGAATCTGAGGTGCAGATTGAGCCTGCTGAGAGGGATTATTTGTCGAAGTGTGCGACCGAGTTTGAGTCATTGTGACTTGTGAACTCTGTAATGGTTCAATTGCCTGTGGAACACATGCTAGATCACATGAAATATGTTGTCACTACAGCTTGTAATGATTGCAATAATGCACACACCGATGTGGTCCAAACCTATGCAGGCATTCTCGCTCCTCAGGACCATGTTTGTTAAAAAAAATGACAATATTGATGTGGAACTGGAATGTGGCGTGAATACAAGTGTATCTCAGCTGAATCATCTTGTATTGTAACTCAAACATTATTACGTACATATTAGCGCAATATTCCAATGCACCGTCGGTTTTCTGAGAGCTCACCCGCATATGTGATATGAAGAGCTGATATTGCGGTTGAATTGACCAAGCGTGTTCCGTGCAAGATTTCGGTATTGGTGTAAGGCATTGGCTGAATCACTCACAATCATCCAGTTGCCGGCCGATGTATAAAATGGCATCATGGCATTTTTAATTATCTGGAAAGTAGAAGATTTAGGTAAAATTCATGAGATTGTTGATCATATCTAGGTGTGCAATATATTTAAAGCGCTACAACTACTCATTCCCTAGACGCCTTTTGATGCATTGCATCTGTTGCCTGAGTTCTTCGCACCTGAGATGTGCATTCTTTCTAACATCCCTCATGCTTTCCAGACGCTGCTCCACATTTCTGACATCCACCTTCAAGGATCGCCTCTTCTCCTCATCAATCTTCCTCTTCTTTCTCGCGCTGACATCCCACTTGTTCGGCCGTTTGCATAGCAGTATGACATCGCTCGAAGAATCCAATAAATCTCCATGTGAATGCGGAGGATCTTCATCTTGGACAACTGTGATATATCGCTTTGAGTATATTAAGAATGGCTAGGATTAAGTAAAGAAACATACAATTGCTGCACTGCTCCTGGCAGGCAACACAAGCTTTGTCCGGCTGACCCACGCAATCTTGCTTCATGGCAATGCAACGAGAACACCCTGGGTGCTGGTGTGCAACAGCACTCATTTGTATATTCAGCAATGTTTGTTTTCCTGAACCGTTGCACAATATTAGCAAAGTTGTAGCATACTCAAATAACATGGGTACCTGTTAGGAGAGAAAAACGCTGCTCGCATTGTTGACATGCATGTCTGGCCAGATATTCCTGGCATTGCGTGCCATCGGCCACGCAGGAGTCACAACCAGGGTCTCTCACTGTGTAGAATGGGAATGGCTGCATCTTCGAATGTTCAGTGATTTGACTGAGGGATCGTCGTGGTAGAGCAAAATGAATGATTGTCTTGATTCATCAGTGTGGGTAAATAATTTATGGTGAAATTCAAATGTGGATGTGGACCTGGCATTGATTCAAGATCAAGTAGACTGTCTGGTTGTCGGCCGAGATAATTTCTGCTGGCACTTCATCCAGGAGTCCCAATGTCATGCTAAATATAAATTTGCTGGCAATTCCTGCTGAAGCGGACTGCCAGTCACCTGGCTGAGAGATATTCAGCCGACACATGCATCTGGAGCTGATGACATATCATCGACCCTTTGTTATTTTAATGTTTTAAGACATTTTCATCAGTGAAGGTGTAACCATACACCCATAGTGTTGATTGCATGCATATATATAATTGATCTTGCCGTGCGACCGAAATTATATTTGCCCTAGGTGCACAAGGGAGTCTATGAGGTCTCAGGTCACATTAAGCATTTTATCTAGTTATGAGCATGACTTAATGTATCTACTAGTCGACAAGGCATCCTTTCAGATGATTTAACTCATGCTCCAATTCCATGCAGGCTTTGTCAGCCCTGCGGTGCATGTCCTCCATTTCGGCCAGATGCCGCTCGAGGTCCTTCAACTCGGCTTCAAGGCTCGCCCGTGCCTTCTGGTCGAGCAGCTTGTCGACCCAGCCAGATGGCTGTTTATCCAAAACGATAATGTCGTCAGAGGAGTCAGAGGACTGAGACTCTGAGTCAGAGGATTGAGACTCAGGATCAGACACGTCAGGAGATTCTGGATCTTCAACCTCTTTTACAACTGAGTCATTTGTCAGTGTAGAATATAAATATAAGGAAATGAAGACTTACCATTGCTGCAACGATTCGTGCAGGCTATGCACCCTTCCCCCAACATGGAACAACAAATTAACTTCCTGCTTCTGCAGTATTCGCAGCCTGGACGTCTCCGGGCAATCGCCCTCATGACATTCATAATTCGTGGCTTAGGGCCTACAATTTGCGATAAGTTTTAGCGGATGGGATCTCAAATGCAGCGATTACTTACCTGGCAACAACGAACACCATTTGGAGCATCTTTCACATGGTGATGCAGAATTATATGCATGGCATGGTTCGTTCTTGGCCACACATGATTCACAACCGGGTTCTATCAACTTCGTTGGTAAGAATAGAGTCATGGATGAGTGTTAAGAATAGATGTGTTGAAATATTGTGTGATAGAGATGGAAGATGAAAAGAGATGCCTTGGACGTTTTAATTGTTCAAGACAATAGTAAATTTCTACTCAGTGGTTGTTCCCTAATAGGTAGATTGTGGTCGACCAGTGACAGATGTTCAGGAGCCACAATGTCGCCAGATTTTGCATTATGTAAGATAGTATTGATATTCACCATTGTATGGTCAAGTGATTCAGTTGCTGGGTAGAAAATCAATCAGACGTGTTTGAGAGGCGACATATAATGGAGTGCCAGCATGTCTCTCAATTCTGGCTCCACATTGCCGCTACTATAATACAAAGTATTAACATTGAGAATGATTCAGTGTTTTGGAAGCTTGACGCAAACTTGAATGATGGGTGATATATATCGGCAGTGCAACCCAATGAAGCAGTCGGCCACATATATCCTGTGAATTCTGTGAATATACCACATTACGCTGGTGCAACATCCAAATCGTTGCTCGGGCTGCATTGTCAACTGAAAAATAGGACATGATATATCCCCTCGGCCATCGTTAGATACAAATTTCATAACACAAGGTATCCGCACATGTTGATGAAATAAGCGACATGTTCCTTCTTCCATTGCGATCCTGACATTGATGGATGGTGCCGTTGGCCGGACTGCATCTGAAACAACATACAGTGGCTCAAAAAAGTGTCCCAATGTTTGTAGCTTTTCATGTAATTGCTATATCATGTGTCAAGATGTGGGAATATGACTAAGCTATAGGGAGATGTCGGAAAGGTCTGCATCTCAGCTTCATTTTGGTTCCCTATACCGTGGGAAAATAATGACATTATGTGAAGATATGAGTATTTTAATTTGATGACTCATTGGGACACTTTTGACTTTGAGTTTTACTAATGTAATCTCTATAATTCTAGTACTGTGTGTGACCTCCTTCTGCTCCAATCACTTCTGCCACTCTTCTAAACATATTCTCTATCAATTTTGGGTATTTCTCTTTGGTGATTCCATCATACTCTGCTGTAACACTGTCTCATAGTTGGAATAGCCCCTACAGTGAATCTTGATATGCTACAAGTAATTTCTTGAGTGATTCTCAGGGGTATTCAATATGGTTGATGTCTTGGGTCTATGTTGAACATGATAGAATAGTAATATTATGGTCTTTAAGTTATTTGGTAGCCAATCTAGAAGGTTGCTCTATAAGACTTAAGATCTCTTAATCACTATATTCTAATTGGAAAGACTGCTGATGCTAATAAAGTGATTAAATTGATTATTTCCATCATTCCTATGACTATCTCTACTCAAATAGTCAGACAGACTCTCAAGACAGCCCATCTTAAAGCTATAATCAAGAAAAACAGATTCCTCTGTCTCCAACCTATAAAAATAAAAGACAAGATGCTACTTTCAAGTACAAATATCGGACTGCTAATAGCTGAAAGAGGTTTATCTAGTTAGATAAGGTTAAAATCAATAGGATGAAATCATATGGCAAGGAATTTATATTAAAATAGATAGGACAATTAAGATAAAGAAAAGTTAAATAAACACCTTAAGTTTCAAGACAAAACTTGATGGTATAGGACTATATGAGATAAAATGGAGTGGGAATCTTCTATGAAGCAAAGGGGAGGATGAATACAGAGTAGTAAATACTCATTTGACAGGAGTGTCTGCTAAGAAGCATGCAGAAGTTATGAGTTGATGAAGAAGATACTGTTTTGTGATAAGACAATGACCCTAAGTATACCTCTAAATAAGCCACCAATAGCTTGCAAACCATGATATTACTATTCTATCATGTTAAACATAGACCCAAGACATCAACCATATTGAATACCCCTGAGAATCACTCAAGAAATTACTTGTAGCATATCAAGATTCACTGTAGGGGCTATTCCAACTATGAGACAGTGTTATAGCAGAGTATGATGGAATCACCAAAGAGAAATACCCAAAATTGATAGAGAATATGTTTAGAAGAGTGGCAGAAGTGATTGGAGCAGAAGGAGGTCACACACAGTACTAGAATTATAGAGATTACATTAGTAAAACTCAAAGTCAAAAAAGTGTCCCAATGAGTCATCAAATTAAAATACTCATATCTTCACATAATGTCATTATTTTCCCACGGTATAGGGAGCCGAAATGAAGCTGAGATGCAGACCTTTCCGACATCTCCCTATAGCTTAGTCATATTCCCACATCTTGACACATGATATAGCAATTACATGAAAAGCTACAAACATTGGGACACTTTTTTGAGCCACTGTACATACCTTGGCCTTATTATCTTCAAATTCAAGCAAGATTCCTTCGGCCGAGATGCATCCAAACTGGGATAACACTTCTGCAACTTGTGGCTTTGAGTATTGATGTTTTGTTTCCTGTCAGTTATGGAATTGAGTCTGCCAGCCGATGTTACACATGTTCGTAGGTATGTAAGTTAATGCCCAGTCGATGTAAACAAAACCCTCCCATGTAAGGATGTCAACCCTCCTTGTCCCGATCCTGCTCTTCCTCTAGCCTCTGCACGTTATAAATTAAATCATCCAATGAGTCAAGTGTTCCACGATGATAATCGAGAACTTGGTATAACCTTACAAGGTCTTTACATGCTCGTTTCACCTTGTCCCTTCAATCAGCATACAACGTCATTGCAATTTGTCTCGCATTTATTATCTCTTCAGCTGTTGGTTTGTGGGAATTGCCAATTCCTGAAGACGCCAAATCTGTGGCAAATCGATTAACTAACGGCCAAAGCATGAGTCGAGATATGGAACAGGGTGAATGACCTTACTTTGATGGTCACCGATGACCTCCAAGTGTTCTATGACATGCGTGATGCCCTCCGTAGCATCAGCGAACAAAGGATCATGGTTTGGGACTCCGTCTGCTGTTCTTGGCGATTGCAAGTATGTGTGTTGGGTCGCATGGCCAGCCAAGTTCTCAACATGACTGGCAAGTACCGCTGGTGTTGTTGGATCAGGCCTATTGTCATAACCTAAGCAAAAATCGGCCGGTAATGTGATGCTGGGCGACAAATCCACAACTGTAGGCCGGATCAAACGATCTGAAGGTGCGGTGGCAAGTACATTATCCTTGTACCCACAGAACAGATCAGATGGCAGCACGGCATCAGATGATGGCTCGCTATCGGCTGGCCGCACTGAACAACCCGAAGATGTGGTGGGGAGGTCCTGGTCCTCATACCCAAGAAAGAGATCGGATGGCAGCATGGGATCAGGAGATGACTCGCTATCATCTGGCCGCACTGAGCGACCCAGAGGTGTTGTGGGAAGGGCCTCGTCCTCGTACCCAAAGAACAGATTAGATGGCAGCATGGCATCAGAAAATGGCTCGCTATCGGCCAGCCATACTGAACGATCTGAGGGTGTGGTGGGGAGGGCCTCATGCTCGTACCCAAAGAACAGATTAGATGGCAGCACAGCATCAGGAGATGACTCGCTATCATCTGGCCGCGCTGAATGACTTGAAGGTGTGGGGGGGAGGGCCTCGTCCTCGTATCCAAAGTGAAGATTAGCCGGAAGCGCAGTTTCAGGTAATTGTTGAACAGCTTCATTAGCTGAATGTTGTGAAGGCGTGGTGCGGATGGCCTCGTCTTCGTATCCAAAGCAAAGATCAGCCGGCAAAACAACATCAAGGGATGGTTCCATAACCGTTGGACAGAGAGGACGATCCGATGGCATGGTTGGGAGGATCTCGTCCTCGTACTGAAAGTTCAGGTCAGCCAGCGATGTAACATCAGGTGATGACCCCATCGCTATTGGATGCATTGGATGATCTGATGGTGTGCTAGACGGGACCTTGGCATCGTAATGAAAACAATGATTAGGCGGTAATGTAATGTTTGGCGATGGCTCAACACTTGCTGGGTGGGCTGAAAGGTTTGGAGGTGTGGTCATGAGGTCATCATCCTCATACCCAAGGCAAAGATTAACCAGCAAGGAATCGTCAGCTACTACATCTGTAAGCATGGAGTCAACAGCAGAATGCAATTATATAGCAACAGGGATGCTACTGTAAGAATGGCGTGCCTGTGAATAAGGTGATATGCAGTGTGTCGCCGTTGGCCCGAAGTTCGAAAGCTTGAACGTGCCATTGTCGGATGAATCTTGCGATTGCACTTCGTCGTCATCACAGCTGGGGTTAATTTCGGCTAAATTGAATATGTGAGATCGGGTGTGTTGCAATGGGGAAGGACATACCAGAATTCGGCCGTGGGTCCATCGGACCAAGTAATGTTTTAAATGTTGATTCTGGTAACATGTGGCCATATCCCAAAAACACCTTGTCTAAATAATTGTTAAGCAGCGCTTGGAAATGGGATAAGAATAGCTACCTGCTTCACTTATTTCTGCCAGATAATTATTAACAGGTAGATCATCCTGGTCAGAAGGTGCTGACAGCCGCGTCAGGATAAACATATGTGCCAAAATGAAACTTACAAGGTCCTAGTGACGATCTGGGAGAGAAATCATGTTGGAGGTATCCGGCCGCATTATAATGGACAAAGGGCACTGACAGTTCAAGGCACGCAATTAGTTCATGCAGGATACGGTGACAACTAACTTACATCGCATTGGCTTGGATGGATCAGCAACTTTTTGTGCTGGGATTTTGACAGTCATGATGAGAGTTGCAGGGAGTGGCTCTGACATAGATATGTCAGAGTCATCATCATAGCCGCAATTGAAAGAGGCTATGATATACACTGTTATTTGCTGTGCAAGTGAAGAGTACATTACACACCTGGTTCGACCGATGGTGAGAGTGATGCATCATGTCCTGCATAGAATGAAGCTGGATTTTCTGTGAGTTTGCTGCATAATAAAAGGTAGGACGTACTGGGTTGTTCAGTGATCTCAACTGGAATTTCGTCATTTCCAGTGAAATTTTCGATCATTGCATCTGTGGGTGCTACCGAATGAAGTCAGCCGGAACAAATGTTATATAAAATTAGACTAACAATGTACAGTCGATCTCGAGATGGTAATGTCTTTTTCGCATGCGACTGTACCTTGAAATTCATCAGTGTTGCCACTGGATTGATTGTCGTAGCCTGTGGCAAAATCCGACATTTCTACTGACGATGCGACCGAGTCAGCCGAAAATTATGTCTGTGACGAATGAACTCATGGTTGTAGGGTATGACAATGTCTGGATCTTCACTGGAAAGATCGTCATATCCTGTGCAAAAATCGAGCATTTCGACTGAACATTCAACCAATAGTCAGCCCAAAATAACATTAAATTGGCATGCATGAAATTACCATCTGAACTATGCCTGGATGAAATATGGAATTGTACGCAACGCTTCATGGTATGCTCCATGATAAAAATGCTGATAACGACCTTAGTCAAAATCAATGAAATCTTGATGTGCACAGGCCTACAATGATGTCACACTCAACATGGCATAACATCACGTGCATGAGAATCCAATTATTCCACGATTAAGGTTACAGAAGACTTGTTAAATTCTCACAGAAATATCTCCCAATGTGGCAGACACTGTCAGGCCAGAGACGGCTGAAGATGCATTGAAGGTCGCAGATGGTCACGTGATGCCTGGGCCTGACATAGCTGCTTCCAACACTGTTGCTCTGACTGACCAAGATCAGGTGATGGAGGACATAACTGCCGAAGTGGATGCAACAGCCCACATGGATTCGACGGCCGAAATCGATCACACTGTGACATCTAACCTGCAGAAACCACCAACTCCAACTGCAGAGCCCAATCGTGATGTAGAAGAGAGACTCACTCAGTTGGAGCAAACAGTCGCCTTATTGAATCGCACCACCTTCATTCAAAACATTCAGTTGGAGTCCACTCGCGCATCACTGCATGTCAGACAACTCCAGCTGACTGAAGTGACATGTCATTTGGCCACATTGGTCGTCGTTTACAAGGGCTTGCGTCGCGCATATGTTCCTGATGACCCCATGTTCCCTGCGCCTGCATTGTCACAATCCAATATCACCTTGCCACCAGGTATCGGCTGGCAGCAGGTCGCTGACGAGATTATTAATAGTGGAATTTTCACCAGCCTATCGCACCACTCGCAAAACCAGCCAGCAGCAGGAACATCGGCCACACTAGGCAACTCAGCATTGGGGATCATGGGAGTGGCAGGAGGGATGTCATCAGCAGAGAGGCAGAGGCAGGCCGACATTCTGGCAGAGCAGGGTTCATTTGCTGTGCTGGGAGAAACCGATGAATTGGCGTCAAGGCACATCCCAACAACCTCACATTCGCCTCCGGCCAAATCATCGCCTCTTGAGGCTGTAGCGACTCAAATACCCATGACACATTTGCCTTCGGCCTCAGCACCACCTGGGATGGCCACAGTGCAAGACCCATTGACAGGAGCGCATTCTGCATCCTTCCCAGGTGCCCCAGTGGCAACCAATTTCCCAGGCCGGCCTAGGTCTACTCGTCACTCTTGCACGCACCAATAGAATGGACGAGCTATGATTCATGTTCCACATAGAATTAATCTCAAATCTTGCATGTACAAATACTCCAACCTAGCAATGTACCATATATTGATTGTAAGATGTTAAGTTTGCGCATACAATGAACAATGTGCCGAGATAGATGTGAGTGCTTCAAAATGTGAATGCAGGTGACAGGCAACAACTCAGAAGCAAGAGTCACTTTTATATTTAGTCTGGAATGTATTTTAAGATTAATTTAATTATATCGACCGACATGACATGACGTCCAGGACCAAATTAACAAATTCGGCCACCAATGCATAGGAACTTTGGAATCCATTGGAGGTGGTGCGACGTGATTCATAGTCGGCTGAACTGGTGGGAATCCTTTTAACAGACTTGTATCGCAGCTAAATTATTTGGTGTTGCATCGCAAGAACCATTGCGTGCATATCAGCTTGAAATTCCAATTCGCAGTTGGCTGCATCACCTATGGCCGAAAGTGTTCAGCAAGGCATTTTGGCATAGGTCTAAACCCTGGGCCGGTTGGTCCAATATGATTCAGCTGCGGGCCAAGGTGTTAACTGGCATGGGTTAGCATATGCAAGCAGAAGATCCGGGAGCGATTTATAGCTCGCCATTCATTTCGTGACATTGACCAATATTTGAATAGCTACCTCAGTTATATCACGAACTAATCAAAGGAACATGATGTGGGACTTCAGTTGCCCTTGTATATCGATTTTTGTAACCCATGTTATTAGTCCTCCGACATGCCTATGTAATGAATTTCCTGTTCGGCCGTTCTGTACAGCTTACATCCAGCTACAATGCTCATGACTTTGTCATATTTATGTTCTTCATTCCTGACATCCTTGAGGTGCTGCAAAGCATGCTGAAGTTTGATGCAGCATTCCCAGCAGGTCCTTCTCCCGGTTGCAACCATCCGGGCCAACTCTGTCGCTCCCCATCAATATTCCTCTTTATGTCGGCCTTGTCAATTATTCAGCTGCTCATCCCGAGTCATGATGTTTTGTGGGGAATCAGATGAACTCATCACTCAATGAAGTCATTAAAGCCTCTTGCTGCTGATCGCAGATATTACTCATTATACCGGTCGTGAAGTTTATCCAGCCGATTGTGGGAACTGGCTGTAAGTGCAAACCTCATACAACTTCTGACCAACAAGGCTCACTTCAGTGTTAAACGATTTGATTGATTTAGGAACATTGCGCTCAATCTTTGCTGCAATAAACTATCACGAGATATTCAGACCTGGATTTTCAATTTTTATTCATTTTGGTCAGTACGGTTAGAATTTCGGCCACTAGCACATATCTCAGGAAGCCATAACTATGACTGATGGTGGCCATTGTCGAAATGGCCACAAGTTATGGTTGTCTTGATCGTGCATTTCTGAATATTTGAGCTTTCGGCCAGCACATGCTCCTTTGACTGAGCCATGCCTGAGGATCAGGAGTTTGACCAGTGCATTTCAAGGATGATGTCTCGGCCATAAGGTATAGGGAGAAGATGGCTTATGAGGTGCCACATTTTTGTTTAGTGAAGCAAAGACACTTGCTGCTAACTACTGGAGGGCATAATACATGGAATTGTTCTATCATACAATGGAGACCCTTCATCATTTCCTTGATCTGCTGCTCCGTCTGCTTAACACGCTCCAAAAAACCGGTGCTCTCGATTTGCCACGTTTGCTTCCTTCCTGTGCTGCATATGGTCATTTGCGTGTCTAGCTCTCTTGAAGTTTGCTTCATCCACTATTTCAACCTCGTCCGACACAGAGTCAGATAGGTCAACAACTTTTAGCTGGTGTTTCTTTGTTTGTACCGCAGTGACATCGGTGTCTGTGAAACATGAGTGCATTAGTAAATATAATAGTACATCTAGAGTAAAAATTACTTGATGGTTCAATAAAGCACTCCTCTTCCAGGCCCATGGCACTGCAACTGTCGCATGTGGTGATGAAAATTGTGTGAATGTTGGATTGCGGCAATCCTGACAATATTCTTTCCCTGTATTTATAGGTCAGTCATACAACGATATAAGCATAAACGCACTATGTAATTTATAAGGATTTATGCTATGTACACAGATGGTTTATAAAAGAGATCTACTGATTTTTAAGTTGCTGCTTGAGATGCTGAAACTTGTGCCTGAATTGATTGCACGCTTTCTCCATCCTACGGTGCAATTCCATTACATGGGAGAGATAATGCTCAAGGTCTGCGATGTCCTCAGTCAGTGACCTGTTTGGTTCTACCTCGCGTGCCTGTTTCTTGCGTGGGAATTCCCTCCATTCATCTGGCTGCTCATCCAACATCACAATTTCTGCCAAGTAGTCTGAATGATGAGATGCTGAGTCCGACATATCAGCATCTTTCATTACTGTGTCAGAAATATATGAGTGAGAATCCTCTTAAATTCCAGACCAGCTTACCGTGGCTGCATCGTTCCTTGCAGGCGAGGCAGGCCTTGCCCGGCCGAGCTATGCACTCCTGCTGTGTGTTGGCACAGTTGTCACACCTTAGATCCATGTGTTCAACTGCCGTCATTGCCATATGACGGTTTGGCCAATGCTCTGAGTGTTGATGCAGATCGGTCAATGTTTGATATGGATGTGACTGTGTTACTTACCCTGAACAATGGAACAGCGCTGGTTGCATCCACAACACAACTCTCCAGCATAATGTCCAATGCAAGGTGTGTTGTCAGCCACGCAGGAGTCACATCCTGGGTTCCTGAACTCTAATAGTGGGAATGGTTGCATAACTTAGTGCTGAGATCGGCGAGTCAGATAATTTCTGTCGATAACTTAGACAGCTGGATGTAAATTTATAATCCAATGTACCGGCCGCGGCCAGCTGAATGAACCTTCCATGTATTCCAACGGATATGTAATTGGCTTTATCACAGTAGAAGTAGCAGCAGGGATAAAAGTGTTTTATTAACAACTGGGTGAGCAACTTAGCTAGCCGCATGAGTGATGATAAGCTTTGACTGCCTAAACTACAAGTAGGAGATGATCTCTCGGCCTCGCCAAACACCCTGCAGAATTCTCCCTTGGCCGGGTATATTTGATGCATATAGACTCTCGGCCATGCCTCATTTGACAGGGAGTCGGATATAATTTACAATGTTACCATTTATTAAGTTGGTATCAATTAATGCCAAGCACGGGAGAGCATTCAGAAGATATTTTAATTTTCTAAGGCTAATCCAAAATGCTTGGAAACACTCCATGATGTCTCACAGATCTCTAATTATGTCCTTCTATCTGCTCAACACGCTTATTGCATTGTGACTTTTTCCTCTGCCACATTTGTTCTCTCCGATCCATTGCATGATCGCCTAGCCTCGCTATCTGACCATTGTCCGATTCAGAGTCAGAGATATCTAGCACTTCTGGCGAGTAATTCCTCGTCCCAGGGAGGGCTGTATCAGTATATATAAGTTATCAGTGTGTTAGAGAATATGTGAGAAACCTGTAAGGACCAATTACCTAAAGTCTCACAACTGTACTGTTCTGCTATGCATATGATGCTGGATCCATTCACTGTGGGCATTTGTAAATGTTTTCCAACCAAATGCTGAACGAATATTAGAAAATTTTATTTGTTTTCGTAGTCGGAACATTGAATACATGAATATTATTTGTGTACAGTGTTCTTTGTAAGGAACAGGAAGCAAAAGGTCCCTATTTGTTCTGTGGGAAAATACAGTGTTCACAGCATAATACAATATAATACAATATTTTATCAATATATATTCCTTATAATGTAATGCTCTTGGTATATTTATATAGTGTTCGCCTAACAACGGAAACGTACATAAAACATTGTGCAGTTGCAGAGCACGCTAGGCTAATCATCATTAATAGAACATATAAATGTCAATTCTATCGAAAAACATTGACAAATACCTGCAGTCATTACATGTGCTCTCCTCACATGTGGTATATGGATGGCCTGCTTGGATGCACACTTGCGGCATGAATTCTTATGGTGTCCCATGGCTTGTGTGGTGCATGTGATGGCTATACGGTGGCTAGGCATGGTTGAAATGTTGGTAGTCAGAATGGTGCTGAGTGTGTATTGATGATGATTTACGATATGGACGATCATCAGGTGTACCGCTGCATGTCTTGGGGATTACAGTATACAAGGATGGAATAGAATGTGAAACTCCTTAGCTATGTGCTTTGTGTTAATTGTTCATCACAGCAGTTATGCCGTTGATGCCACACAGTATTCATGTGCTACATGAATTCAATCAGGCCATTGACTGCTATTCTTGATAAGCCTGTAATACACCATTTATGTACTTTGTATAATGTACAAGTTTAGATCTCAATCAAGATTTTAAGGCTGGATTGTCGATCTCGCTTGATTATCTAATTAATAAATATCTGATTGTGAGATTTGTAGGAGGGGCATTTCAATCTCGGTCGAGCATCCTAGCCAGATTGCCATAATATCTGGCCGAGGCTCTATGTAATTCAAGAGTTTGTCCCCCTCTGGTGCTCGGTCAGAAGGTGGTATCATTGTCTGCCACTCGGCCGAAGATCCAGGTTTCAATTAATCAATTATACCTGGCCAGATTGCCTGCCTGCCATACCAGTGCTCGCTCAATCGTTGCCAATGCATCGTATGTTATTATATGCTCCATTTTCTCTACCTACCGAGTCGCTGTCATTGACTGAGAAATTACTATCAATGCCTATCAATAACTACAGCTGACCGACGGGTCATGGTGCCATGGGATGGCCAATAGGTTACATGGACTGACTGACCGTGGGTCGTAGTGCCATGGGCTGCCAGATAAGCCATGTGGACTGACCGACAGATGTATTATGGTGCCATGCGCTGCCCAATAGGTCATATAGATCAAACGACCAAGGGGTCATTGCCATTTGCTGCCCCATAGGCCGTATGGACCAACTGACCGAGGGGTTATAGCACCATGCGCTGCTCAATAAGTCATATGGACTGACCGACCGAGGGTTCGTAGTGTCATGTGCTACCCGATAGGTCATATGATCGGTTAGTGTCATGACCGACCGTAGTCAGTGCCATGGCTGACCGAAGTGTCAGCACAATCATGGGCTGACCAGTCATTTTAAACCATGGGCCCACCCTATAACTCACAGTACCATTATGGGCCGACCCGTCATTTTCAACCGCATATATTCATGGGCCCACCCGATAATGCACCAGTACTAGCATTGGCTATTATAATTAATAGCCTACAAAAGCTACCATATAGGCTACACTAGCACTATGAGCCCAGTCATCAAGATCAGGCACAATAATAACTATGGGCCCATCCGTGTATTACCTCTACAATATGCCCATGGGCCCACATGGGATGGCCCGTATAGTATGGGTCATTGTCACACTGGGCTGTCCGTATAGTACGGGTATGATTCACTGCAGTATGTGCTCCTTTTGAATAAAGTCATGACATACGACGCCATAACAGTTCTGCTGGCAGTACTAGGCAGGAGTCACTGACTCAGCTTCTCACGGGGTGACCGGAAGGGATAGGTTCTGCCTAAACCACTGGCATGCCAATTGGAATTGTGTCTAAAATGCCAAGCATTATTGTTCACGAGTATAAGGGCAAGTTATCTTCCTACCGTCAACTTCACTCCAAAGAGATTTTCGAGCACCTCAGCAGCTCATACGACCTCGCAAAAACAATGTGTTTCCCCTTCTCCACTGTTATTATTGCGCTGACAGCATCTATAATATCTGTCAGTGCGTGTCAGGCAGAGGGAGATAGTTGCGTTCAGAGTGCTGACTGTTGCTTGACAGCCAGTGGCATTGCGATGACCTGCATTCATACTGTAAGTAGGAGTAGTTTGATTTGCATCGATTTCACTTGATGACTCACACTTTGTGCTTCATTATATCAGTGGGGTGGTGGCAACATCGGTACATGCCATCAGTGAACACCTGAGTCCTTGAAATTGTAGCTGTGGCAACTACAAGAGGACGTAATTTTGCTCCTGTCAAATATAAGTGTCTATGGTACAAGTTGTTGTTCAATACAGCAGTCTGGCAATATCTAGTTCGACAAGGGGTCTAGACCAGCAGCCCAGGCTTACAAATATTCATTAAAACCTTTGACTATGAAGATAGGACGTCAGAAACAAGAACCTCCAGTGTCGTAAGTTGAGTCCACTCTTCCAATCAGCACCAGTAGAGCATGGTTGACAAAATACCTTAACGATGGATGTGATGTGAAGTGGCCACAGGACTCTGTCCGAAGCTTATGACACACAGGTTAGTCAGTATAGGTAAATCTGTGCCACATAGGCGTCTTGTGCCCTGAGTTGCACTGAACGAGCAGGTTGTCAAATGTGAACTTCACATTTTTCATTATGCAAGCAAATATTGACAGCAGCAATTCACAACTAGTCTGAGGAGCTGCAGCTCTCGCACCGGACCTATTAAATTACAGATTGCCACATGATGAAAGGACTTTGCATCAGTACCAGTTGGCGAATTTTTACACTTACCCTCACAATTACGAACTAGCATTTTGCTTTGTTCGCTTGGGTTTTACGATCTGTTAGCAGGATAATCCAAGCAGAAGATGGTATGCCGAAGATAGGACAGTTTTGTAGCATACTTGGAAAATTCATCGTTCCCACATAAGGTCATGTAACCCCCCCCCCCGCCACATTTTCGAAGATTCTTGTGATTGCTATCAATATATAGTCAACTATGACATTTTAATATGTTCACAGGTTCACTGATGGTATCATCACATGTTTTTCAAAACTGTATGTTCAACTTCGCACGGCATCCAAGAACCACTTGTCTCAACTTGGTCTCAACCCTTTGAATTGTCCTTGTACGTTCCAGCCCATCACGAACTTGAAGCTCGGTTGAATAAGCCTTTTGGTCCTTCAGAATCTGTTACGCCGTAGGAAATATCGACTTCAGTCTTCGGTTCTCCAGCAATCCCCACTGGCACATTTGGACTCTGTTAACGTGCTCTTCACGCATTCCCGCCACGAGAATATAGTTCTACCATCGAAAAGCAAGTGCAGGCAGCGCACAATGACCAGTGGGAAATACAGGTGAGTAGCCAGCCTCCAAGTGACGATGACTAGTAGGAAGAATTATGTGCACAAGTATCGGGCTTTGCCAGCAGCTGGCCCTAGCGACCTTGTATTTTACTACATAGTATGAATATGAATATCTTATTTGGCCGTTCACCGAACGATGCGCACTTTCAACAGTTTAAAGACACCTGGTCAACGGCTAGTACATGAAACTTTAGGTTGCATAATGCTAAGTGTAGCTTATATTAATATCGATGTCCTGGTCACACAAAGCAAGCAAGTAGTCAATATCGGCTATCGATCACCACTTCGTTCGAATCCCCATCGATCTCAATATATATCCCCTTCACATATTTTTCGACGTTCTAAAGCATCATCTTGTAATATTAAACGGAATCCCACAATCCAATGTGGAGCATACCGTACTTAAGTAGTAGTAGTACTAGTACTATGAACGCCTACCGCACTACCGTACCACCGTCCCTATAGACAACAAAATCAATTATGAAAAAAAAACCCACAGGGTTATTATCACTCCACCGTGCCCTCACGCGTCGCCGCCAAGGCAACCCCAATAGCCTTGACCAAATCATCCGCCGACAACGAACTAGACGCACTCCGTTCTTGTGCACGCGTCGACCCCCACGTCACAGTCACGGACTCCCCCACCTCAGGCTGGGGCCACCCCATCCCCTCCTCCAGATCCTCCAACGGCGTCAACGTCCCATCCGAGTACAGCTCCAAATCAGAGTCCGGCGACGACGCCCGCGAAGAGCACGATGACACAGGCATACGCGAAAATGGCACGTACAACCACTTCGCGTCGCCGATATAAACACGTGGTCGTTCAATAGCTTTACCCTTGCCTTTCCCTATGGAGCGTTCCTCTGAGACGAGAGGCGGAATTACAGCGCTGGGCTCGAGGTCCTTGACCGTGCGGATCTTCCACTCGCGTAACGGCGTTCCGATGAATACCCTCGGTTTCTTCTTCACTTTCACCTTTACTTTCTGTTTCGATTGCACGGTTTGGGCGCGTTGTTTGGCAGGTTGTGTGGGTCGGACAGGGGCAGAGGCAGAGGCGCTAGTATCATCGATAAACGCACGTCCGACGCGCTCGCCTTCAATACCATAGACATGAGCCCAGAACATTGTCTGTGGCGCACTTTTGGAAGGTTCAGGTGTCATTTCAAGATCCGGGACACGGGAATCATCAGGCACAAGCAAAATGCCCGACTTGGTGCGAGATCCCGCAAATCCCCCTCCACGCATGGAAATATACTCCTCCCCGCGTCTCCGCGAGCATACGGAGCAGTTGCAGATATCAAGGCAGGCCGGACAGATAAACTTCTTGTTATTGGCGGAAAACATCATCTCGGGGTACCTGAGGAATCATACGGGGAGACGTTGCAATCAATGAGGAAAGGAGATGAAGTAAAGGAGAGGGAGACGACAGACCGGTTCAGAATGCATTTATTGCAAAACCGTTTCCCGCAGATTGACCGGTCTGGACGGCGTTTGGAACAATGCATCTTGGGTCTGGTGTTCGTATTTCTGCATTGGTGACAGGAAGTCTTGACAACTTCAGGCTCGCCATCGTCCTGTAGCATGGTTTGAGCTGGAGGAAGAGGTGCATGAGCCTTGGACAGTTTCCTTTCTGGAAGTGGAGTTGCAGATACAGCAGGAGAAGTCGAACTCGAAGTTTTCGACGGCGCAAACGACCCATCAGAACCCGCACGGGTGCCTGATCGGCGAATCCGCAACTTGAGACTTGGCTGAGTCCCAGGTCGTGCAGGTGGAGCAGAAACAGCTTCAGCAGTCCATCCCCCGTCATCCTTAACCTCCCCGTCGTCCAGCTTTCTCGTCAACCTGGCCATGTCGCCTTCATCAGCGACAGAGGCCGATTCACTGGTGCGATATTTAATCTGAACGTTTCCTCGTAACTTGCCAGACATTTTGTCCGAGAGCGCTGGGGCTTCCTGCGAAGCAGACACCCCTGGAGGTCTGCGCACGTATATGATGGGGCCTGCTGGTAGTTTTTTCGACTTTTGAGTGCTTCGTGATGGAGGCAAGGGAGGTTTAGAAGGGGGTTCACTACCACCAAGCAGCGAGGGATCAATCGTACCCGCGCTGCCTGAAGGAGAAAGACTCTCGGGGGATATGCTCTTTTTCTCAATGGTAGGCGATAGGGACCACTGGCCATCTTCAGGGAGAGCAAGATCGAAGCTAGCATCCAGGCTATGTGATGAATTGGTGGCGTACGCATCCGCGAGCTGTAATGAAGGAGGGTCGGATACAAGCTTCGGGCTAGGAGGTACTCCGAAGAAACTGTCCTTTGCATCTTCTCGCGTGACTGACGCTGCATCAGGGGGCAGCCGTGTTGTATTGTGCAAGAAACCAATGAAGGAATTTGGTGCGGACCGAGTGTACTTAGCGCCTGAAGGATACGTCTTTGGAGGGGAATCGCCGAGGTCGTTCAAATACTGATCCATCTCCGTGCTGAAGTCCAGGATTTGATCCCCTTCCAGTGCGGTATAGTGCGAGATGTCGTCGAGGACGTTAGAGGATGAAGGGTCCTGTGTTTGAAGGACAGTACCAGCGGATCCCAATTCAGACTTGGACGAAGTCGGCACATTTTGTGGCTCTGAATTGTTCTTAATTTTACCTTTGCGAGAGGAACCTTTAAGAAGCCCGCGTGCCAAGTATGGTGTCAGGGCCGCTTCGATATCCGGCCTCTCCTGGAACAGCGGTGCGAGAACACGAGGCAAGACAGGTTCATATTCTTTTTCATCTTTCTCATCATCCGGGACCGCAGGACCTTTCATCCCTGCAACCATCTCCGGTAAACCTTCGTGCAGTTGTGCGTAAAGGCGCTGAATGCGTTTGACGTAGATGTAATAGGTACTCGATTGCAGGATATTGTCGTGATGTGGTAGAAAATCTGGCAGGTCATGGATGTCAAGTTCGAGAGCAGGATATTGGGCGTCCAGAATCTGGGTTGGTATCGTAGAAACATCTTCTCCGAACTTTCGAAGACGAGGCTTGATCTTCCTTTTCCGACGTGCAGGAGCTGGAGGTGGGCGTTCACGCTCATGCTCCTTTCCCTTGCGACTGAGAGAGGGTGATGGCGGCCGGTCATTTTGAGCGAATGCAGCGGGCAGGGCGTTGCTAACTGGTGGGTGCTGTACATCCTGCTGAGGCTTGCTAATTGTCGTGTTCGTTTTGCAACTGGCCCTGGTCGTGTCTTTTCGAAAGGGTGGCACAGATACACAGTCGAGGACAACGCGTCTGCGAGGCTTACGGGAAGGTGGAGGTGTGAATAGAGAGTCGCCCATTTCGGGTGACGGTGATCTTGGAGAATGGGCACCACGATCTGAAGACGAATCAGGCACGGAAAAAGGTTCAGTCTGGAAATTAATAGTCAGAAAGTTGGTTTTGAGGGACGGGAATGGCATTGTGTTGTATGCGATTACTCACAAGCATGTCGTCTACGACCATCTCCTCATCTTCATTGTCAGGGTCACTGGAAATCTTGATAGCATCATCTTCATCATCAGTCAACTCAATTACATCGTTATGAGCTAAGAGAGGGGGTATAGACATGTCGAATAAGTTGAACTCCGCGGCATGGGATGAAGTTGGCACGCTCCGGGTGCTGTGCTGTGAGGAAAGAAGATATGATTCTGGTGTCAAAACTTCGTCCTGTAGAGAAGAATACGTAAGTATGATGGATCTATCAAGGGAAGAAGACGCGCTCACGGCAGCCGAGGTGTCGTGAGTACTAGTATGCTGGATTAATGGAAACAGTGTATCGAGATTAGACGGCTGAAAGAGATGAGGCATATGTACGGGTGAAAGCGTTTCAATAGATGACGCGCGCTGAGTGGAGTTTAGTAAACTACAATGGTTCAGGAGAAACGCGAGCACACCTTTATTGAAGCACGCGTAGAACCACGTTTTTTGCCAGGTAAATCGTCTATTGAAGATGAAACATCAATAATATAGCAATCCGAATCTTCTCCAGAATCATTAGCGTCTTGTGATGATATACTAGAAGGATATGCCGATGAAAGGGTAGGATTCGTGCTACTCGTCGACTTGAAGGGCGATGTCGAAGGTACGTCTTTGTGTGACTGAGGATGATAAGAACTGGATGCTAGAGGGCCGTCCCAGTTGATGAGCTCTGGGTGCTCAAAGCCTTTCATTGTCGTTGACCATAGCGAGCAGCCCGGCAAAGTCACTCTTCCACAAAAGGGCCGCCATCGGCAATTCCCGTGCTTACGGGGTTTAAGTTTTTAAAGTTAAACGTCAAACATTAATCATTGACAGTGGCATGACTTTCCGTAGGACTTCGAGTTGTACTACATAGTAGTCCAAGGAAGTTGCGTGTCCAGCTACGAACTTTGACTACTGTTTCAGTGCTATATTTCTCATTTTTATTATTATGGCTGTGATGGGGAACACGCGCTTCAAAATCGGCGATGGACTAATCAGACTAGTGTGTATTCCGAATGACCATCAGGCCTATGGTGGGATTGACTTTGCAGACTAATATTCCATCAAAGACAGGACGCGCTAGTCTGATCGGTATCCTCATTATTCACCACTGACATGTGATTGGCCACCAAATGATCCCGTTTCTCCCAGCTTGGCGCTTATCATTGAAACACACCAACGATCATGACGAACACCGAACATCTCGACCTCCGCGAAATAGACGCCTGTTTATTCGACGTATTCGGTACCGTCCTCAACTGGCACAGCACAGTCCCTCGCCAAGTCGCCCGTCTTAGTAAAGGACGGCTTCTTGAAGGTAAGTAGCTGATCCCATATTCCCGTCAGATGATCTCACACTGATCACATCTATCAGGTTCACAGGACGCAGTAGATTTTGCAGAAGAATGGAGAGCAGGATATTATGCTTATGTGTAAGTTCGTCGCTTTTCGATCTTGCCCTCAGATCATAACGTGCACGTTCATGCAGCAAAAGAGTATCACAGGGCGGGGAGGGTACTTCCAACGCAGACATCATGCACCGAGAAGTAATTTCTCTCAAGCGTGCATGCACACGATTTGTACTTGACCATATTACAGATACTGTACAATATGCTCACCACCCCGCGCTGGTCTCATATTGCAGAAGTGTGGGGGGATTCTGATCGCGAAGATCTCACCTTGATCTGGCACAACTTGGATGGTACGAATATTCAGGAAAGTGCAGAGACAAACATGACCAATACTTCAATTTCAACAGCGTATCAGGACACCATCCCGGGCCTGACAGAACTCAAACGCCACGTCAACATCCTCGCTTTGTCTAACGGGAACTTCAGATTACTTCTCGATCTGGTAATTGGGTCGCCACGTTACCCATCGGACATTTCTCCTAATCAGCGTTACAGGCAAAGAACCAAGGTGTTCCCTGGGATGGTATCTTTTCGTCCGAGCTGTTCGGATCTTACAAACCGTAGGTCTCGCTTTTATATCTGTACGTTATCCCCTCGTCTGACGTTTGTGCAGGAACAAAAAGGTCTACCAATCCGCGGCATATCACCTTTCTTTACCTCCTCACAAGATAGCAATGGTCGCTGCACACAGGCACGACCTCCTCGCTGCTGCCAGCGTAGGCTTCAAGACGATATATGTACCACGCCCTGCTGAAGATTCGCCCGAGGTAAGGGAGAGCATGCGTAGCAAGAAGGACGGCGGTGAGGTGGATCTTATCGTTAAAGATTTTGAGGAGCTGGCGAGGTTAATACGTGAAGCTCGACAAAGCTGAAGCGCGCAGTTGGTGCATACTTTGTAGGTCCTTGACATATCGCAGAATCATCACCTGCCAATTGATATATCACAGTATTACAGTGCGAGCGAAGTGAGGTAACCGAATCAACGATCAGATCGATCATGTTCGGGGTAATGATGCGAACTAACAAATCATTATATTTCGTAAATGCAATTCGTAGTCGTCAGGAGGAGCTCTACGCGTAAGCTCTCTTAATGACTACAACATTTTGACATGTGCTAGCATGTGAGGCGTGCGATATCCTGACATTTAAAGGCGTTCTTCCGAAGTGACCCACTTTTACAGAATTATCGCTGAATCTTGAATTCGAATACAAAGGAGCGATCATCCTTCTTTCTTCTATTGACCTAGTCAGGGAAAATCGGAGGACTTGTATGCAGACGCGACCTAGACGACTTCTAACCACCAGCTTGCTTCAATGCGTTTCTGAATAATCATGACTCGTTCAGCGATGTATCGATTGCGTTCCATGGCTAGTGTGCTTCATTTTATGCAAGGCGCTGCCATTTGGTCTTGAGGGACCCGGGCGCTGATAAACTTTGCAAAATATACATAAGCTCACATCTTCTCCTCCATTGCATGCACTACAGTTTGTCTAGACAGCATTGTGGTTGCGTTCAAATATTAGAACAATGTTCGTTATTCTTTCACAATCATGCAGTACGGCCAGCCGTGCTCACATCTCTGATAAGCAAAAGGCAGTAAGTCCATGATCGTGGCTGTGATTGTGATATACATAAGTAAAAGAAAACTACAAATGTGGAACAAACTTTGTCCAAGCTACTGTGTCGTATACGCCATGAGGTA